AATAAAGAGTACCTTTCTCTGACTTCTCAGTGTTTGAGAGAGAATGCAGTTGTGTGTGGTTTACAAACAGCACGGCTTAGCTGCCTGCTAACTGAGGAAATTGCGAGCCAAAAACCCCAGTGTGGCTCAGCAACAGCAGTTGCCAAATACTGACCAAATCAGCCCAAAACGTTTGCGCAAGTCGACTTACTGCCTGAGTTACCACATACTTCCCGAGCTCCAGTTTCCAAACTCAGCACATACCTGACCTGTGTCTTCCCTTTTCTGCCTTACAGCTGGAGCAGCAGCTCGGGCTTTCTGCAGCTCTGCTGGGGAATTTTGAGTCCTGGCAGAGAGATCCCCGGGGAGGCTGCAGCTCGGAGCAGGCTCAGTCAGGGGCTGAAGTCTGGGAGGGAGCTGCCATTGAGGGCAGGGCGCTCCGCATGCCTGCTGCAAGCCTGAAACAGCAAGGGCTGCAGGAGCTGCGGCGTGCTCGGGGCAGGGGCGCCTCTCAGAAGGGGCTGGTGCAGCCAGAACAGAGGGAAGTTGAGAGAACTGAGTGCTGGAGCCTAAAGATCAGGGATGTCAACGTCCTGCTCCGTTTGCACACCAAGCATTCGGGTGCTGGGTCGATAGAAACTCGTGGGACTGTGCTAAATCCTCCCAAAGCCCCTCTGGGGGCAGTGCTTGCTATACGCTGGGGCTGCTGGATGACAAAGGGGGTGTTTATCTGGCCGGTGCATAGTTCAGCAGGCGGCTTTGTAGCACCCAGCAGGAAAGGAATGCCCGTGCCGAAGGGGCAGGGTTTGTGCCAGCTCGCAGCCCAGTAACACTCAGCTGGCTCCCACCTCTGCCACTGACACCCCATCCGATGGGACAGACAAGGAAGTTCATGCTTGAGGAGAAGCAAATAAAGATATGAAGAGGTTCAAAATAACTTTTGCCTTTCGGAAAGCTGAACCTGGTAACTTGAACCCAGCTACATCAGTTCACCAAACTTCAAAAGTTGGAAGTGGCACCTGCCAAAATTGGGGGGGTGAAATAAACACAAGGCAGGGACTCTCCCCTTCTCTGTTTTCGGTTGCAGACGGACATTAATCACCACATTTGTCCCTCCAAGCCAGGCTCTGTCCACGTCCAAGCCATCAGTACAATTTTGCAAGCCGAGAGGCACATGAACTCACTGTGGGAACTATTTCAAGTTCTGCCTTTTCTTACAAGCACACAGAAAATGGCAGTGCATTACAAATCACTTCTGCCACTGGCCTCAGCATCACCTCGCAAAGGTTCCGAGCTGGCAGATTCCGAATGACAGACCTGGAGCTCAGGACCAGACTTCGAAACGACTTAGAAACAAAGCCACAGCACCAGAACAACGCCCGCTGTGAGCTCCCTCCAGAAGATATCAAGTTTTAAAAATAAAATTAACAGTTAATCTAATAATCATTCAAGCATGGCCTGCTGAGTACAAGTGCTGCAGGGCAGCATACTTTTGATCAAGCATTAAAATAATTACAGGCAGGAATTGGATTCGCGACATGATTTTTAATCTTTTCAAAGCACTGCAGCAAGCGGCCCGCAACGGGCTTCGTTCTGCCAGCAGAACCCAAAGGCTCGTCCCAAGGATCAGAAAACTGATCTCTGCCATGGGAGGCACCGCTTCGTAGCAGCACAGCTTTTGGGAGATGAGCAGCGGACCGGAGCGATCCAAAATCCCCACGCAAAGCCCCGTGCGGGCAGAGCGGCTCTCTGAGCTGGCTACAGGTTGCTGCAACGCCGCCAGATTCCTATAAAGTGCTGCAAAAAGGGCAGCACGAGGATGGGGCCAAGGGGGGGTGACACTTATCCAAGCCTTACCCCGAGGTAGCGGCTGTCGTTGAAGAGCCGCGGTGGCAGCGGGTTGCCGCTGGCGGGCCGGCTGTCTTCTGGGACGTTCTCCCGCATCCATTTGCGGTTCTCCTCGTTGGCGGCGATGTCCTTTTCCTCAAATTCAATTTTGTTGGCTTCCAAGAACCCTAGAACATCTTGTTGCTGCTTTTTGATCTGTCGGAAAGATGGGAGGGAGGGAGAGAAACAACATCAGTCGTGCCGCGCTGGTGGTTTTGCAATTCTGGGGGTCAGTGCAGAAACAGGGGGGTACAAAACAGGCTGAAAATGAAAACTGGAGGAAAATTCTCACAAAAAAAATATAAACATATTCTAAAGAGCCCCATCTGATGGGCTGTGGGTGACGTGCATTTTTCTTTTCACAAGAAATCTCCTAACTTGTCTTCAATAGGATCAAACGGGCTGGGGTAGGGGCACTGCCCCTGTACAGTGCTGTGAACTTTAAGGGTCTGCACAGCCAAACCCAGAGCTGCCCCACACAGACCACACCGAGCAGTCAGCTCCCAAAGCAATTCTGGGTCCTGGTTCTCTGGACAAGAACCCGGCGAGCTCTGCCTGCAGGAGAGCTCTGGGGTGAGACCCCACAGCCACACAGCTCGTCCCCTGCGTGCTCCCACGGCATCCGAGCCAGAAGTGGGATCTGTTAAACAAAAACTGTGCTGGCCATGGACAGGAAAGGTGGTTTTTATTACTGTCATAACGTGAGTTATTAACTTCCTGGGGCAGAGACGTTCCGCTTACGCTCTGCTCTTCCTCTGCACCACTTTAGCACCGTAAGGGAAATTATAACCGTGTGCATCCAGGGAAACAAGGGAAAAATAGGACTTCATGGGAAATTTGTTCCCTTCAGAGAGGTCTGTTAGCAACCAGGACAGACAGATCCCCGTGTGTCTATCACAGCACGGCACAACGGGGCCTCCCTCCAGCTCCCTTGGCGCAGGAGCCACGGCGATGGATTCCTCCCGGTGTGCTTCTCTCAGCAGAAGGATCCCACGGGGTAACATTGCCGTGCATTAGCAAATTTTTTTTATCACAGCTGAAAATAAATAAATGGGCCAGGTTAATCTCGCCCCGAGGAGGTCGCTCGTGTCACAGGCTGTGCACCAGAGTGTTTCTCAGCACGCTCGCACCCAGCGGTACGAGACTTCCTCGTTTGCCTTTAACAACAAGGGGCAGAGCAGGAGGGGAAAGTTTTTCTCCATCGTGTTATAAAGGTCAAAGAGAAAGGAGGCAGCACTTCCTTCAGCAGCTATTCCGTAGGACTGGAGTACGGGAAAGGTCCCTGCAGTTGTAAACTCCGGCAGCCAGCGCTCAAGGCCACGGACCCACCCGGGAATAAACCGACGCTTCTTCCTCCCTACCTAATTACCCTTTAATTAACCGTTTCCCACCAGCTGTGAATTACGGATGAAGCCAGCTCCCATTAGTCTCAGTTCTTTAACTTACAAAAAACCTCCCAGCTTGCCAGAGCTGTTTGCTCAGCGACAGGTAGCACGATGGGGTCCCCACTTCGTGACTGCGGTGGGGCAGCAAAACCCTCTTGGCTTGCCTGTGAGCAGCTCCTGGAGAGGGATTTGTGCTTATTCTGCTAGAAAAGGCACCGTCTGGAAGGCAAATGTGGCATTTGGGTTCCTGCTCCACCATCTGCCTGGGCAGGACAGTTACAGGGCTGCTTTACGTGGTTCTGTTTCGAAAAGCTGCATTAATCTCAGGCACGGGGAGGGAAGCGCCTAAAACAGAGCTGCAGATGCCCCAGGGCACTTTGTCTCGCTGGACAAGGCAGGAGCTGCGAGGACAGGAGCCTGGGGGCTGATCCGGCTGCCCCTGCTTGGGAAGGAGCATGGAGGGGGGCGGGCACTGCCTTCAGGGGTGTTCCTCAACAGCTCCCTCCAGCTTCCTCCAAATTGATCTATTTTCACTCGGGTTTGGCTTCAGTGTCTGCTCCATGAAGATAAATGGCTTTATGGAAAGTGACCGGAGGTTAAGCAAACTCCTACCACAAACCTGGAACCTTTTGCATACAAAACCTTCACAAGCAGATTGTAAGCTCATTTCAAGATTCTCTTCCTTTCCTGGTACAAGACAGCCATGAAAGATCAACCTTTCAACAGAGAACATGCAGAAAATAACCCCATGAAAGTAGCTAGGATCAGGAACAACTATTGTCCCTCCTTGCAACCCACACCAGAAGTTAATTTGCTGTTCCAGGAGGTAGCTGCAGCCCTGGATGACGGCAGGAACGCAAGAAAAACCACATCAAAGCTGTCAGGAGCAGAGCTGGGTGATGTTGGGCAACAAATCGTGTCCATCAAAAATGGAAATTCAGCCCCAAAATGGGCAGAGCACCTCCCACAACACGCTGTGGCACTCCCGCCTCAAAATGGTTTTTCTCCTTCAAATCTTTACTAATTAAAAAAAGAGTGCCAATATCTGGCATTCTCCCACCAAGGCTCACCTACACGTGCATCAATTTGCCATCCAAGGCTTTGTTTGTTTTAGCAAACACTTCCAACTATAGTAAAAGCCTGGCCCTGTTATTTGGGGTCACTTCCAAGGAAGCGATTCCACTCGCAGCAGCTTGCCCAGACCAGCAGGATTCTGACAGCGCGGGGTGAGCCACCAACGAGTCCTTGGACCAAAGCAATCCCAGCACCTGCAGCAGTGGAAGAAAACGATGTAAAGCTGCCAGGATTGCTGAAACTTTCCCCGGAGCAGGTCCCATAGGAGCAGGTCCCATAGGGAGCTCGGCTGTGCAGGACTGGAGGGCTGGGGGTGATGCTCGGGGTCCTGCGAGCTGCCAGTGCCCCGCTGCCAGGAAAGCCTCGTTTAAATGCGTTGGTGAAAAGGGCTTCAAAGACAGTTCTTGTTTGGTGTACGTAGGCACAGGCGGGGAAAAGAATAGCTTAGTCTGCGCTGCTGGCCAAGCAGGGCTTTGTTTTTAAGCCTTGTTATTTCTTCAGTTTATAAATAAATTCCCCGTTGGCCCAGAGTCATGTTTTGGAAGTCTATTTCTGGCCCCCAGAGACCTCGGAGCCCGCAGCCCCAGCTCTGTGGCTGCCTCCAGCCGGTGAGCAGCTCTGGCACATGGCACGGGGCATTCCCAGGTCCTCACTTCCATGCAGGGAAAAAAACACTTTTTTTTTTTTTTTTTTGCAAAGGTACAACTCATCCCTTACACCGAACGGGTGCCCCCTCCCAGAGCAGCCAAGAGCTTCCCCGTTGTTTTATTTCGCCCTGCCCATGCCCGGCGCAGACTGCAGGCTAAATATGTCCAGCAGCAGCAGCAGCTTCTCCCTCCTCACGTGCCTGCGGTAACACGACTGCTATTCACGGCTGCTTCTTGGAATTTAAAAAAAAAAAAGTTCATTCTTTGTTTTTTGTGTGCTTGTTTTTTAACATTTCTGACGGTAACAGCTCTCCTCATGCAGGCTGCTGGGGCAGAAGCTGATGCTTGGAAATCAGCTGCAGGCAGAGTGGGGATTTTGGCTCCCGGTACCTTTTGGGCAGCTCCCCGCAGCATTTTGAGGCTGGGGAATCCCGCTGTGCTTCCCTGGAAGCTCACACCCCACAGCCAGACCCCTGGAAGCTCACACCCCACAGCCAGGACACCACAGCATGCCCCCGAGCAGGCTCCTTCCCAGGCTCCATTAGAGTTTTCTGTGTTTCTGTTATAATATTTCAGGATGCAGGTGTTTATATACAAGCTTCCTTGCTTCCATTCATACAAACAAAGCAGATTTTTTCCCTGTATCACCTTAAATTTCAGAGGTGCCAGCTCTGGTGGCCACCATCGCTGCAAGCTGCGGCCAAGGGGTGGAAAACTGGAGGGCACCCGCAGCACCTAAGGCCTGATGAGAGCTCTGCGGGATGCCTGCGGGTGTCTCTCTCACTTCCCCCTGCCAGGCAGAACATCCTCCTATTTTTAGGTCTGGGCAATTATCATCGCAGAGCCCACGCCACTTCTTTGTCTGCCTATTTTAAGCCACGCGCGACACGCAGCAAGGCCGGCGGTGGCTCTTCCAGCGCTGGCCTGCTGCTCTGCAAGGAACGACGAGGACAAACACTGAAACCACCACGAACTTATGTGACCCAAACCAAACACAAGGGGCTGGAAAAGCTCATACTGTACTCGTGCTTCTTCTTTTTTTTTTTTTTTCCTCCAGAAATGAGGCCGTGTCCGGATGGGCTCTGTCTGCACTCGCTCTGCCCAAAACTGGCCCGCAATGAGCTCCAGAAGTAGGAAATTACAGAAAGGGAAAAGCCGAATCACGAGAGCAAAACTAAAAGCTTCTTTTCTGGATTAGAACATCACTTTAAGCACACTCATTCAATAACCCAAGGCCTGAAATTTTGCTAAATCCCCCAGCAAGAAGCTCCGAGTGGAGAGGCCACGGTGCTCTGACACACGACGGCCGATGCCACCCAGCTCTGCTGCGGTCAGGCTGGAAAAGCAAAGGCACCAAAACGCCCTAAACGTGTCAGAACCGAGTGGCTGCTCCACATCAGAGGTCTGCTCAGCCGCTTTCCTCCCGCAGAGGCCAGAAGCAGATCCCTCTGCTATCAGTCAAGCGCGAGGACAAGGAGCGTTTCCTTATTTATATCCTCGCGGCTCCTGGCAAGCAGCTGCAGCCGCGCGGCCTAATGAAGGCCTGATGACTTTTTAATGTGTTTTAAGCTTACTTTCTGTGAAGGCACCTGAAGGATTAATTCTGCATTACATCTCGAGCCAAATTCTGCTCTGAACAAATAATATCCAGGCACCTGGGAGAGCAGAGTTAGAATCCATTCATCCCTTTACACCTGCTTCTCCAGGGGCTCTTGGGGTGCTCCTGCATCGCCGACACACCAAACACCTCACCACCACCAAGACCTGAAGATGATCTATAAAAGTCCCTTTTAATCAACGTCAGGTTTGCTCCAGGGCATGGAAATGATCTCCGTCAGGTGAAAACCCAGCTCTGTTCCTGCTGGAGCCACCAAAATCAGAAGCAAAGCTTTCTTCATTTCTTGGCCCCAATGAAAACCAGGGCGACATCGTGCGCGCTCCTTCAGCTCTGCCCCATACTCACTGCCCCCCAGGTGGTTGTGGCTGCTTTTTTCACATTCCCCAGACCGCCAAGACCCATGTACCACAGCAGCAGCTCCCGGGTGGTCTTGCCTGAGGGTCCAGCTCACCACGAGCCCACCGTCTCAACTCACAGAACAGCGGGCAGGCTGGGTGCAATGTGCCAACTCCAACCCTCTCTTTAGTCAGGATGTGTTTCCTCACCAAAAAAAGAAGCAGCATCCCTCCAGCGTTTGCTTTAGAGGCCTCTGTGAGTTCTGCAAAGTGCCAAATGGAAGCAGTGTGGAAGCCAGGATGCCAAACATCCCTCTCTGGGGCAGCCGCAGCCTGCTGAAGCACTCCAAGAATAGAGGTAACGCAAAACATGACTGCGAGGTTTCACCACAAATCTGAAAATATTCAAATATTCGCACAAATATAGCTCATGGTGCCACGATTTGCACACATTTCTCTCTCGTCTTTTGCTTTTTTGAGAAGTTTTCCCTAGTTCAAGGCCGTGCAGCCCCAGGTAGCCCGTGCAGGGATCACCCTGGGGACAGGAGCTGCGGGGTTTGGAGCAGAGGGAGGATCACCCTGCCCCTACCCTACAGGCCTGAGCTCTGCTTCAGATGGGAGCCTGATCCAAACCCAACAGCGAGCAAGCTTCAAGCTGCAGGAACACAGGCCCCATTACCCTGGCTGGCCATTAATGAGGCAGGAGCACATGAGGAGCCCCGTGGTTATGACGCGCCGTCGTTTCCTGCTGCAGACGTGGGATTTGGCAGGCCCCAAAGGCCCAAAGAGCCCCTGGAAACAGCATCCCAGCTCCAGGGGGGTAAAGAAGCAGAAGTAGAGGGGGAGGAAGGAGGCAGAAGCCCACTCGTGGCACATCCTCAGGCAGGAGGAGGTCTGGCAGGGCGGAGGAGCAGTAAGGCCCTTCAGGGCAGGCCACCTCTGCCACAGACTCCTGGGGTGACTTTGGGTGTGCCTTTTGCCACCCCTGAGCTGTCAGCAGTAATTTTATTTCTCCAAATCACTTGTTTGCTTTGGTATTTGGGTGAGGGATCGTTTCTGGCCGTTCCTGCAACCAGGACCAAACAAAGCCCAGCCCAGCCTCGCAGGGAGGCTTTAAACATAGACACACAAGGCTGATCTCCAGCCAGGCCATCACACTGAGCATTATGTGAGCAGCCAAAAACTCCCCAGAAGATGACAAACATTAACTGCCCAGACTGAAGGTTTACAGCACGAATTGCTGTTTCACTGACTCTGTACTGCCAGGCGTTCATTGCCTTTAAATAAAACTGGCTTTAAGAAGAAATGCAGTACAAAACAGGGATCCTGCTCCACACTCAGGTGCTTCTGCATCACTTTCTGCCCTCGAAGAACTCAAACACCAGAGGCATCCTACAGCAGAAGACTTTTGGATGACTGCTATGCAAATACTAAACCAAATCAATTCTTTGAAGACAATAAAGATCATTTTTTTTTTAATCAAAAATAGCCACCTATAACAGAAGGCTTCCAGGAGCTGCCTGCCAGGAGCAGCAGCTGCCCAACCTCTGCTGCCTCGGCCTGGAAAGCTGGCATCGGGGCTTTGCTCTGTGGGGCACCCTTTGGGAGACATCCTGGAGTTAGGAATTCCAGGAACAGCACATTTTTCCATCACAGTAAGGTCCTTCCCCCCAGCTCTTCCCACCCACAGCCACGGGGAGCTGCCACCGTCCATCCCACCCCAGGGGCAGGGCACGGCGCTGCTCACACCACGACCGGGGCCACCCCACAGCCACCCACGATGTCCGGAACATTTTGGGCTCTCTCTTATCACCCTGCTTCTCTTGTTTTTCAAAAACCACAGGCTTCCTCTTGCCTCCCTGCAATCTAGAGTTCGCATACCATGACCGAGCCCTGAGACAAACACAAACTGCGTTTCATTTTCGGAAAGGCCGAGCCCCCAGCTGCTGCGTGCTGGAGGACGGAGCTCTCCGGGCCTGGGCGAGCGGCCAGGCGAGCTGCATTCCCCTCGTGTTGCTCGGGCTCAGCCTCATGCTCGGCTGCTGGCAGCACCGTGGCTGTCCTAGCACCTTCCATGCTGCTAATCCTGCTCCCACAAAAGACCCAGCCGTGGATCCAGCTGCTCCTCGGTTGGTGCAGGTGTCAATTCCTACAGCGAGCATCCCCCGCAGAGCCTTCAGGACCTCCTTCGAGCGTCTCACAGCGTGTGCACCTCAAACCTGGGTCCCCTGCAGGAGAAGCGGAGCCCTTCGGCCACCTCCCGACACATTTTAATGCGGTGAAAGGAAACAAATTTAGAGAAAGACTGCTCGGGTCCAAAGGTCTCGCGGAGTGAGCCAGCAGAACCACGAGACGTGCTTATCTGCGCTGCGGGAGGGCAAAGCATTGCAGTTCCTAACCAGGATTATCAGGTCGCTAACAAGCAAGACTGCAAACCTGCCCCATTTCATTTTGTGCCTCCTTTTTACTTATAAATACTGCCTAGGGAAAAAAATCCTACATCTATTACCCCTAAATCAGCTTCATGGCAACTTCACTTCCATCCGTGTCCCCCGAGAAAGCTTTGGGATGTATTTTGAGTTCCTGAGTTACCTGTTCCTGGCCCTCTCTGCCAACTGCCTCATACCACGCAGACAGCAGCGATCTCAAATAAGCAGCATTAAGGATTTCCCCGGTAAAACCCTGCCCCGCTGGAGTCCGTGGCAAAGCTCCCAGCGACATTCCTGCTGCCAAAGGTTCATCCTGCAAGGTGCACACCGAGGCGCTGTTTAAACCTGCCTGGAAACCACAACTCTCATAAAAGCGTGGCTTTAAGTGCAAACCTGGGCTTTGCCAATTCCTTTTGACCTACGGCTGTAGGGGTTCTGATAAATCTGCCCTACCGTCTAGCCCTAAACGTGATGTGTATCAGCATCTGCTGCTGGTGCTGCAAAGCCACGACGTTTAGGAACCACCTGCCTGTAGCACCAAACCCTTCTGTTTGCTGCGTGCCAAACACCTCAGCTCCGACCTGGAGGATTTCATTCCGATGTTAAAAGGAAGACCTAACAACAAAGCTTCCCTGGGCAAAGTCTTTCAGCGCCCAAATGTTGAGGTTTCGGTGTCTGCTCGCTGCTACTGCATAGCCAGCAGCTTCCTACGGCACGTCTGACAGCCCTGCGCTGAACTGCAGCTGCTCAGAAGGAAAGCAAGGGGAGAATTATTATTAAACTGCTGCTATTTTCTTCCTGGTTTCTAAGATACAGGGCACAAATACGGTTAAAAGTTCCTCCCATGTCTGCAGCCTCTCAAAGCGTCTCAGAGTCTGCGAAGCAGAGGTAAGATCCTAATCGCATCGCTCTGTCTGCATGCAACGCAGAGTCACAGCCTGGTTACATTTCGAAGGAAACTTCCAGCTACAAAGCCTGCTAACAGTGCTAGACCTGCAGGTATTTGTAATAAACACCAAACTGGAAGCAAACCAAAAAATCCCAAACACAAACACACGTTTCTTCTCCGTCAAACATTTTTTTCCCCGGACAACACAGCCTCACATATTTTAAACGCACACTGCTAACATAATTTTGGGAGCAGAGCCAGTTTCATCCAAGCATAGAACAGCTTTGCTGGGTCAGATCCAGCTCTTGTCCACCCCAACATCCTGCCTCCGCCAGCCACAGGCTCCAGGGGAGAGCACCCCAAGGGACTGAGCACGCCGACTACCCCACGTTACCCTCTCCCAGCCTCAGTAACACGCAGCTTTGAGTCAGAGGTGTAGTCATTCCCTTTAATAGCCCTAATAGCCCTTTGTAGATTTTCCCCCTTCATTTGTCTCGCTGCTTCCTGAACCTGGGCGATCTTTGCCACACACAACACCCTCTGGCACGGCGTTTCTCTGCCGAGCTGCACGTTGCCAAAGGAGGCACCCAGCTTCTCCCCACTCTCCCCCTGTTGTTGTGCTGCGAGGAGTCACCATCAACCACTTCCTCTTCATTCTCCCCCGCCGGACGTGGTTTTTCTCTTTTTTTGTGCTTTTTCAGCCCTCTCTCTGCTACCGAACTCCACTTTATTTGTCTGTCCTCGTGCAGTGCTCACCTCACGCTCCCCAGCATCTTTTCTGGTGTTGTTCACTGCTTGTCCTGGCCTAACAAAGACACAGACCTGCCACAGATTTATGCAGTGCTACTGTTTTAACTTTGCTCTCCCTGGTCCTAAGAACTCCCAACATTTCACCTGCTGTTTATACCACTGATAGGGGATTTTTCAACCAGCTTCAAGCCCTGCACAGGTTGGTTCTTCCCACCGGAGCCACGTTCAGCAGGCTGCTCACACTGTGCCTCTGTCACCTTTCTCATCCCTCTGCAGGTTGCCTGTGACTAAATTCTTGATCGTTATCTGCTTTATCTAACAGGAGTTTCATCGACCACGTAAGCCAAAAAAACCTCCTTCCCTCTTATTCCCCAGCGGCTGAGTTTCTCTCTGGAAATTCGTTTGCCTTTGGCTCCTCTCTTTGCCCTGGCGCCACAGCACCTCAAACAGCAAATCCCCTGGCAGGTAATACTTCAAAATGTTACGCTCGAGTGCCTTCAAAACTTCAGGCGTGGCGGTACTCACGTGTGCAAAAGGAGCCCAAATAAAATTAGCCTTCCGAGAGCTAATGAAAGAAATCACATCCACTGCTCACAAGTAAAACCAAGCCCAACACCAAGCTGTAAGCCAGAACCCAAAGGCTGCCTCTGCTGCACTCAGACAGCATCAGCTCTGCCTCGGGCTGCAGCTTGATGTTGACGCTTTCTTTATGTTCTCTTCTGGCAGCCTGAACGTCCCCTGCCCACCTTCTGAAATCCAGGCTTGGCAGCCTCCTGCCGTGCTGCGCTCCTGGACGGAGGCTTTCTCTGGAACGAACAAGAGCAGCGTTACAATTAAAAATCTTTTGGGTTTGATGAAGTATCTGATGAGAAAGGTGCTTTACATTGAATCCCAGACCGAATACAGCTGGGCTTACAGACATGTAGCTTTGCTGTGCGGGTGGGAGCACCGTGGGGCACACAAAGCCCTTTCAGATCGGCCTCAGCCCTTCTCTCTATCACAGAGGGACTATTTTAGGGCTGTCTTGAGCCTGAACAGCTGATACCTATCGATGTGCGCCTGGTTCCGTTTGTCTCTTTCCCTGCTCCCTCTTTTTCTGGGAGGAATGAGCGGTAATAATAGCCTTGCAGAGGCCCTTGGTTTTGGCATCCTCTACTCGTTACACGCATGCCAATTCTGCAGGAATCTTCTGAGCATAACTTTAATGCCTCAAGACAAGGGGACTTCCTTGCTCAGCTCTGCAAACGCTGCAGAAGTGCTGAGCACGGACGCGCCTGGGGGGAGCCGGGCACCGGGGCTGGAGCAAACGGGGCAAGCTGAGGGTGCTCAGCCTCCGTCCTGGGCCAGCCCTCCCTGCTCCAGCAGCACGGGGGGACAAATCCTGCCACCCTGCCTGGGGACAAGCACCGTGCTGGCTGCAGACACCGCCGGCAGGCAGTCTTCACAAAACCCCTTCCAGCCGCAGCTGTGGAGCATCATCCCAGGCACCGCTTGCAGTTAAGCACGGTAGAATGTTTTGTGTTTCGATCCATTACAACTTTGGCAACAACTGCAACCAATTTAATCTTTGGCTGAGTTAGGGATTTGAATGCCGTATTTGAAGAAAAACATTCGACTTATCTAGAGTTTGGAACAATGACATTAAAAAAAAAGGGACGGCCACCAGACAGATGGAAGGCACCCCGGCTGTCTCGCTGGATTCGTGTCATGCATCGTGTCTCCTACCCTGAGAGCTCGAATCCAGAACAAGACTTGTTCTGAAGAGTGAGAGAGGGGGAGATGAAGTCTGCTTATCACAGGATATCCCCAAGGCTGCTTGCACAGAGCCAGCTCCGCTTGTCACTTTTGGGGGATTGCTGCGGAAGCAGGGAGCAGCCTCGCCAGTCCTCGCGAAGCCCCGAGCTGCTGAAGACGAGCAGGGAGAGAGCAGGTGGGTACAGACAGCCCTGCTGTTCTGCCTCTGAGCTGTTCTGCCTCAGTTCCAGCCCAAAGCACCAGCTGTACATCCGTGGCACCACCAGAAGGTGCTTCTGGGGAGGAGAGAAGAAGAGTAGGCGGCATGGCTAGCACGCGTTGGCACGGCAGAGCACAGGCTGCTTTCCTCTGTGCTTCCTGGCGGGCGGGGAGGAGACCCGGACCCTTTCCCAAACAAGAGAACAGCACAAAAGAAACACCAAGCCGCAAACTCTCCCATCCCTGACTCTGCAAATGAAAAAATAAACTCAGACTTCCTCTCCTCTTTAAGCCACCCCTACCCAGCAGGAGCCTGAGATGTGCCGGGGGCCGGATCCGGAGCTGCACGGCATCCAAACAGGAGGGGGCTTCCCACACGCTGCCGCAGCTCACTCCAGGGCACCCGTGCTCTCAAACGGTGCAGTTGCTGGCAACAAATGAGCCCGAGAAGAATTTAAGCAGCTGGCTCCTTTCCGCAGGAGGTGGACAGAAGCAGCAGTCCGGCTGCCTTCGGGAAGGCGTGCACGAGTTCTCCTGGTGCTGCAGGGAAGCTGCAGCAACGTCCTCCCCAAACAGAGCACAGTACCTAAATGCCAACGGGGTAAATCACAGACTAGAGCAATTCAGCCTCTTCAGTCCCACATTCTTCTTCCCGCAGCAGAAGAGGCGATTACTCCCTGGCCTCTCCTCCTTTTGCCTCTTAAAGGATTTGAACAGAAGCCCGTAGCCAAATTCAGCCTCGCAGCCTGCTTGAGTCAACGCTTGGGCGCTCCTGAATGTGGCATTTGCGGCTGCCATTTCACGTTCGTGGCCTCCAGCACCGCCTCGTACTGAGGAACGCTGCTTGCTTGGGCTGTGTGTCCCTCGGAGAGCCTCCTGGAGGGCTCTGGACTCCTGCGGCCGGTGCCTGCAGCTCCTCGCCGTGCTTACAGCCACCCGTGCTGCTTCATCCCCACCTGGGACTCACCGGCACAAAGTCCATTCTGAGCAAGAGCGAAGGAAAAGGGCATCTGCTGGTTCAGGACTTCCAAATTCAGCCTTCAAACTGAGCTGTAGCCATGATGCTCTGATTTCCTGGGTGAAATCCGAATAGCAGGCTGGACCAGGACTGCAGTTATAACAGCTTGCCTGAGTCCTTAATGATAAACTCTCGGTACATTCGGTTATCTCTGGCTCTGAGCAACA